GGCATCCTCACTACTCCCCCCCCCCCACAGGAGGTGGGATTGCTGGTCCACAGAGAAAGTGCTGATCACTTGTGTTGTCCCAGGGTCACCCTATATGGTTGCCACATACAAGCTTTCATCATTTAGACATACAGAGATTGGTCTGTTTTGGTGTGGTGTCTGTGCTGGGCTGCTGTACACCTTCTTTTAAGTCTCTGCAAGGATTTCAATACTCTATCCAGAGGATGTTTAGGCTCATTGTGATATTGGATATTCAGACTTATTGGTAGCTGATTTGAGGGAATCTGCTGGGTGAAGCTAGTAGGAGAGAACAAAAACTAATAGGAGATCTGGAGATAGCTGCAAGGCACAACAGCCTATGATCCACTTTAAGGTTATTTTCCTTGCACCTTCTTCCAGAATCTTCACCTGTAAATTACATTATTACATGTAGTCCCTTGGGGGAAAAGGCTATCTAAAATGCTGTATCCCTGACCCCCTGCTTTACCCATAGCTTCTGAATCTGAGCCCTATGTAAGCAGCAATTTCAAAAGGGACAGTCAAAGCCACACTTTCTGCTCACTTGAGTGAGTGCAGTCTGGCACTTCCTGTTATGTCCTTGCAGAGCACAGTGCTGAAGGATTAGCATTGAAGTATGCAACCTTATTTCTTGTCAGGGTGATGCATTTTAATGTTCTTCAGATCATATGTAGCCTCATGTTTTCCATCAGGTGAACAGCAACAGATCTTCTCAATACCACCTGATTATATAGGCTAAAAAAAGGATGCGCAGGGTGGTTTCTCCCATCTGTTGACTAATGAAATACAATTTCTGATTAGGTCTTTGTACTCCATGCACGTGGTAAACAGAGCCAGGCACATCAGCCTAAGATTCCCCAAGGAGGTTTTACCAAATATTTCATATTCTGCTCATTACCACTGTTTATTTACTACCTTCAGAACAAAAATAAGTAAATCTATGGTACAATAAAGAAGTAGAATCAAGAAAAATAACAGGATTTATTCCTCAATTATAGTTCCTGGAGAGCAGAAGTAAAAAGTCATCTATCATTTTTATTAGCTGAAAATCTACAATCACAACTGTTATACTTTTTATTTTTTCTCTGGTTCACTCCTACAAGGTGAGCAGCAAGCCTCTTCTCACCCACCCGAGCCTAAGAGCATTCTGCTGCACTTTGTAGTGTAAATGCACTTTCTCTGTTTTCCCATTTCTCTTAATCTATCTTTACTGCCTGTAAATCACAAATAAATAAAAAAAATCTCAAGAAGGCACAACCTTGATCAAGAATTACCAGAAATCCCTTTTTGCATCTGTAGAAAAGCGACAGTACAAAAAAATCTGGTATTTACAAAGAAAGTGTCATTCTGTGTGTGCACTCTTGCTATTCTATCCTGACTTTCCATTATTTCCCAAAGTGCAAGCAATCATTCTTAATTTTTAACAAGAATCTCTCTAAACAGAGAGAGAGTATCTGTAGGGATTTTGAGCTGTAGTCATTTCACAGCACTAGACACATCCTGAAGTAGTAACAGAAGAACAAAAGAGATAAATAGAAAGATTCCAAACAAAGGGGGTAAATAAAAGCTGTAATTAAATAAATAAAAAGTTCTACATACTGGATCCTATATTAAAGATTAACAGAATACTTGCATACAAAACACCCAAAGTCAAATTCTACCACTTCACTTAAGTAAAAAAACCCTTGCAGAATGTGACACTCCCTCATGTCTTGTTTTACCAACATAATACAAGAATTACCGTACCAGATTAGAACAGTTTGGTGTGTTGCTTCTAAACTTGGCCAGTATAAACAGCACCGAGAAAGCTGCAAGAAAAGCTTTTGAAATAGCCTACCTGTATGAAAATTTTCTTCTTAAACTCCACAACAGAGGTGGATCCCACTCTGAAGCACATGAATGCATACTTCTTCCAGATGTCAGGATTTGCAAAGGCCTCTTACTTGAGTCCTTTTTACTCAGGCTGTCACTGTAATTGTGTTTTTCTGAAATTGTTGCTAAGTCCTTAACTTCCGTGCTGCCTTGTGGCGCTGTTTTGTTTTGGTTGTGCCCTGAGTGAGAAGTATGTCTCATCAACTTCTAAATTACCTTTTACTCTGATTAGTTATTCCCTTATTTTCTTAGAATCCAGTCTCTGCCCTTCCTTGTTTGAATCCAGTCTCTGTCCTTCCTTGTTTGTGAAGCAGCCTGTAACGATATCCCTTTTTAACTACAACTTCTAAACAGTGCATCTGGTCACTTTCTGCTCTGTGGGGCTGGAGTTGAAGCAGGACAGGTGGTGGTTGATGTCATCTGTGTTCCTTCTCCCTGTGTGACCTCTCCCCACAGCTACCTAGCCCTGTATGCCTACAAGCCTCAGAAGAACGACGAGCTGGAACTGCGCAAAGGGGAGATGTACCGGGTCATTGAGAAGTGCCAAGACGGCTGGTTCAAGGGCACATCTCTGAGGAGTGGCATGTCCGGTGTCTTCCCAGGCAACTACGTGACACCTGTTTCAAGGTGAGGACCACTGGCCTCTACTGGGGCTGAGAGGGATTCTGGATGGCACTGAAAACAATGTAGCGCTGCTTTTAAATCACATTCCCCTTCCAGAAATTCTCTGCTGGCACTGTGGACCTCAGTAATGAGACTTGCTGGTTGTAGCATTTGAATTATCCATGTCCTCACGAGATTGCACTAGGTGTATTAGATGATGGCATTTACAACTGCTGATAGGCAGTTGATACTGTAAAAATCTTTAGCTAATGATTTTGTTGTTATAAAACTATTGGATATGTAACAAAATAGTAAATGCTTTTTAGTAGCTCATGTCGATTTTGTTCTTCTTAAAGCAAAGATCTGGGATGGTTTGGATCAGACTAAAGTTTAACAGTTAAAATTCCAAAGTGGCAGAAGAGTTAAGTAAATTGTCTGATTTTACCTCCCCCCGCCTCAGTTGCAGCAGATGAGAAAAGGAAAGAATGGCATTTTGGGGGGAGGAATGCCATTTGTCAGAGTTCAGTATTGGACAATACCAAATCAAGGCTGAAAGGCTGAGAAAAAAGTCCATCTCTGTGTCCCAGACTGTTTGTCCTACATGTTCCTTGCATGTGAATGCTGGCATATGTATGCCCCTGTCTCCTTTAGAGCAACTGTGGATTTGCAAACGGAACTCATTGCTTTTCACGTGCTCTCAGTCCCTCCTCCCACATGCACACTCTCTCTTTGTCAATCTTTTACCCCTCTCCAGAGAAGGCACCTCACAACTCAGACACTGTTGATCTTGAAAAGTTGATCCAGCTTCGTTTTCCATCTAAAGTTTAAGTCAAGTCTGTAGCGTGTGCTCTGAGTAACACTGAAAGTTACGAACAGATCAGAAGGCAATAACTGAGCTGATGACAGTCCTAATAATTGCATTTCAATAAGGAAACCCCAAATATTAATTCACTGGTTCTTCACTGTTCATCAACCTAAATGTATTTACCTTATTTTACAGAGCCCCTTGGTTGCCTTCACTCCTTACCTCTTCAGCTCTTAATTAGTAAGGAAGTTTGTGCTGAAGGGTCGGTTATCTGAATCAGAAAGACTTTATTAAATGCAGCATGTCACAGCTAGAACAAGACAGAAAAGTGCTAAAGGGCAAAAGTGCTTTCCACAAAACCTGAAAGCAGCATTATGATTATATTTATGATCCTGTGGGCTAATTAAGTTCTTGTATAAATCACCCTCAGTGAGAACAGCAATAAAAATCTGATAGCAACAAAATCTCCTATTTGCACTACTTTCAACATACTTTGTTCCCCTTTGACAGAAAAGCAGAGGATTAGATTCATGCATGTTTTTCTGCCACTCCCTACAAAACCCAAGGAAAAGAAGTTGTGAATTTAATAACATTAAACTAGATTTATATGCTGCCAAAACATGTGTGAGTGGAGCATTACAGAAAAAGAACAAAACTCTTTAGATGGACAGACAGGCACAGGGCAGCAGAGAAAATTTGCCACATCCAACATCTATCCATCTCTGTTGGAGTCACAGATAGTTTCTGTACTTGTTGGTGTGCATGTTTGCCTGAACACAGCTCTCAGTGGACTGTTAGATGTGCTTTCCTGGCAAACTCAGTCTAGTGCAGATGGCCAAGCCAGCTCCAGCTGAACCTTCCTTCCACCCTGCCAGCTCTTCACAGCAGATGACAGACAGTCAAGATTTCCATCTGGTGGGATTCCCAGCTTTTCCCAGCTTTTTTACTGGAGACTTATCAAAAAAAAAAATTGAAGAAAATAAAAAATCAGATTTAGTTAGCAAAATGTAATCCAGGCAAACCTTGCACCATGAGATGAGTCAAGTCAATGACACCACAGTGTTGTCTTTCCTCTTGTGACTTTAGGGGGAGTGAGGATTGGGCAGAAGGCATAGCTATCTTTTGCCCTTTTGGACCATATCCTCCAGCCTGTGCCTTGGTCTTTTTCCACCAGAATTCCACTCTTTTGGCTTTCAACTTTCTTATGGTTATTTCTTTTGTCACCCATGTCCTCTGAACCACACCAGACTGCTCAACATACTCCTTTCTGCTCTTCTCCTCTCTGTCTTCCCATGAAATCTTGGGGACCCAGAGTTTCTCCCAATTCCATACCCCATAGTTGACTTAAACTTTATCTATTATTCTCTCCTCTCTCGCAAAACCCTTGCACTGACTCATTTCCGTTTCCTCCACCTTACTTTGTTCTGCCTTGTATCCCTTGTGCTGTCCTTTCCCGTTAGAGGACCTTGGCACAAGAAGCAGCCCAGAACAAAATGATCCATCTGTTTCATGGCATCTACAGCTAGGGAAGGAAATTATTCAGGAACTTGCATAAGAAACACAGGGAAAGAGCTGGTCAGCAGCTGCTGAGTTGGTCCATTGGTGTCCTTCTGTCTTCATTGTGGCCTTCTGTCCTAGTCAGAGTTTTTACCTCAGTGGTAGGAGGATCAAGACATGCTGTGGTCTGAACTCAATTCATAGCAAGGAAAAGCCTTGTCCCTTCCCTCTGAGGTCTACTTGGCCACTCAGGTGAAATACAAATTATGCATGCAGTTGAAAGTGAGGAATGAGAGACATGTCAATGACTGCTTGGACTTCTTTTTCATTCAGGTCAGCTGCATTCTTGTCCCTGTTGCATTCCCTTAGCAAGTATAAGCTAGGGCTGGTCACACCAATTGGGTGAATGTTCAGCCAAGCCAAGCCCAGTCAAGTCTGCAGCTTCTCAGTCCCCTTCCATAGCCACACACAGATTTGGTGTCATCCATCTTTGCTTCTCCCTGTAGGGCTGTATGCAGGTTTGGTCCAAAGGAAAGATCTCTGAGTCTAATTATCACTCCATGTGAAATAGCCTCTGGCACACAAAATGACATCTGGGAGATATCCATTTCCTCTGAATTAAGATTTCTGATTTTACTAGAAACTATTCAGAGAGAAATGAAGGGTAATAAAAGACATTATGAGAAAAATTATCTTTTCTATTTTTACCCTGCACTTCTTCCTGTAGAATAAAGGGGTAAAAATATCCCTCAGCATGCTTATAAATGGGTCCTATAAAGATAAGTATATATCAATACCTCAGTTTACTTTAACAATTGATGGGGTATCATGCTAAATCCCCTAAGTAACTGGGGGTATTTATCAGCACTGTGGTTGGGTATTGGGGTCTCTGCAGCATTCTTACACTGTGCACTTGTCTCTGTGCAGGGTGCCAGTGGGAGCTGGGCAGCCCAGGAACAGCGGAGCTGGAGGAGTTCCAACAACAAAAGTAGCCCCAGGAGCCATCCACCCCATTGTGGCTGGTCACAGCAATGCCACCACGGCTGTCAGACCAGTTGTTCCCATCACTGCTCCCCAGACACATCCCCAGCTGCAGGCGGCCTCTCCGCAGCTAAATAACTGCCTGAGGTACTCGGCTCAGCAGCAAGCCAGCCAGCCCCGCAGCGCCATGCAGATGGGTAAGTGCTCTCCCCATGCCTCCTGCACTGGCAGGATTGATGTGGTACCCCTCGAGGACAAGCCTCTAGAATGTGCTCATCCCCACAGCTTTTCTTCTTGCTTTAGCTCAGTCAATGTGGAGTTTGTCCATTGGTGATGTTTTCTTTGAGTACGTTTTCTTTGCTTGTAATATTTATGGGTTTCTATTGATCTCTGGGAACCACTTTGTGTTTATCAGATTGTTCTGTTGCTACAGCTGAAATAGATTGTAGTGTTTACAAATATTTATACAATTTATCTGAGTGAAAGCAAGCACTCTATACTGAGGAGATTAACAGTTCTGAGTCCGGTTGGCTTGCTGATAAAAAAAATACTGCCCTTATTGCAGAGCAAGTAGTACATGCCTTAAAATTAAGAAGTGTTTCATTGGGCTTCAGGGATGAAAGGTATTTATTAGGCAGAACAGGACCCCACGTTAGTGGTAAAGCAAAAGATCTAAAAAATGCTGCCACCTTTTTGAAGTGAAAATAAGAGCTTCTTGCACCAGGGGGTCTCTGTTCTTTCTAGGTTCCCTTTCTGATGTACAGCACAATTTTCTAGAGTACAATTTATTCCCCTTTCCCTGATGTTAAACAGCTTCTGATGTTGAATAAAGTAAAAGTAAATCCTGTGGTGGAACTTTATAGCAAAATTTAAAACATTTTGTTTCTGATATTTTATAGAGATGTGAGCCATTGTATTTACAAAAGCAGATCAGTAATGACTGTGACTGCTGAAAACTGAGGTCTTAGATACAAAATAGAGCAAACACAAATGAGAAATACCCTGCAGAGTAAGTCATGAATTCATACCTTTTGAAGCCAGAAGGCACGTTTATGACCATCTAATCTCAGCTCCTACACAGTCCAGAGCAAAGGGAAGAAAACATAATCAAATACCTGAGAATCTCAGTCTTGAACAGTGGAGACTCCTCTGTTCAACAAACAGTGGAGGGCTTTACATGGTATCCATATCACACTGGGGACTAATTGATTTTATCCTCTTTTTGTCTACTTCAGAAAGTGCTGCTTTCCTCTCAAGTCACACCCTTCTAAAAGGTCTCCTGCTCCCACAGTGCAATGGCAAAAATGCCCCCTTTTGGGCTCAGGAAGTGTTCAGGAGCTCCTGGTGCCTCCTGTGCCCATGTCAACAGACAGGTGACTCCCCTGAAACCAAAGTGACAGATTGCTCTGCCCCACAGGCCTGGCATGCTCCACACCTTTCCACATCTCCAGCAGCTTCCTGGTTTAAGACTGCTCCTCTAGGTCACTCTGACATCTCTAAAGTGCCAAAGCGTTGGCAGGCAGAGTGATCCGGGGACCACAGAGCTGTTCCAAAACCTCCTAAGCAGAGAGTCTTCCAGCCTTTCCAGAAGCTTCATGAGATTGTTGTTATAATTAAATAAACCTTTGCCAGGATAAATAAAGTTTTCATGATTATCAGTAATTGTGTCCATAATGGCTGTCCTCACCAGCATCCTGTAGACCAGAGCCCTTGCAGGACAGGTCAATGCACTGACTTTTGGAAAAGCTTTCCAAGAGAAGCAAGCTGGCACAGTATTTAAATCACGTTTCTGTTGGCTTGCAATATACATGAGTAACAAATCAATTTTCTACAAGGCCACTAATGTAGGAATACAACCAAAACAAAATATGAGTGGTGTAGAACAAAAATAGCCTTCAGTGAGCATTGCTAATTAATAGCATGTTTGATGCAGCACAGTCCAGATCCAGAGATCCCAGAGCAAAAGCATACATTGTAACAGTAAGCAGAGGAAACTGCAGAATAAAATGTGAGAGCTCTGCCCAGAGTGGATTTTTCTCAGGCCATTTCTTTTACTGTTTCTCATGTTTTATGTTTCCTTTGTGTCTGGAAACACCAAGTCCTACATGAAAGAGGTGATGTACCTAATATGATTATCAAATCAATGTTCTGCATCCAGGTACATGCAGAGAAATTCCATTAGTATGCTTTCTCTCTAAATTTGGGAAAGCCATTGCTCCCTACACACAGTAGTTCAAAACCTAGATCCTACAGGCTTAACCATCCAAAAAAATTAGATTTCTCATAGCAACGTTGTTCATCACTCGGGTTTCAAATGGAAAAATCAGGTTCCAGATAACTAGTGGATATATTGCCTGGAAGTGAACTGCACTTTCAGTGCATGTTTTTGGTAGTCCTGGGAGGGGACGATGATAACCAATAGTAAAAATAGTTTTGAAGGTGTCTGTAATAAAAACATTTTGGGCCTTCCTCCTGCTACATGGTAAAGTGGTATCAAGTTACAGACTGGCTAAAGATAGTCTAGATGATTTGCTATAAACATTAGTAAAAAAAGATGTCTTAAACTCAAGGAACTACTGTGAGGGAGAATCATATAAACTTGGGAGGTGCTAATCTGATGATGACTGGCCCATCATGTTCAGTATTACATCAGATAATAGGGCGGAAGGCTGGGAGATGAAATTCCCTCCTGGCAGAAGTGCTCAGCTGGTGTAGTGAGTATGATTAATGGCACTCTCAATCTAATCCCTGCTAATGGGGGCCACTGATAATCACAGGAATATAAACTAGTGGTTTGAGTTGTTCTAGCATTGTTGTTCAGTTATAGATTGAGTGAATTCCAGCTTCATAAAAGTTTGTCCTTCAGATGAATTTGTCAGAAAATGACAGATCAAAGGGGTCAGAAATTTTCCAGTAAAATGTATCTTGGTCAAAGAAAAGCTGTTTTGCTGGATTCAAAGTTTTTTGTCAGGAATGGATGTAGTTCAACCAGACCAACCATGAAGCTGTACTGGCTCATGTTGCTAAGGGAATTGATGGTTTTCCAGAGCTGTTCTCCACATAAGAGAACAGTGCAATGATCACATTCTATGTTTTCACATCCCAGGTGAATAACCTGACCAAAATAGAGGCCATTGTGGGGTAAGTGAGCATGTTGTGCTCAGAAAAATGTCCAGACGTTCAAATTTTGCACTGAGACAGAACTAAACAAGATTATGAAACCTTGAAATCATTTATGAAATAGGCACTTTCCAGCCAGTCCTATTATTGAATCATTTATGTGAGGGAATGTCTGAGTATGGACTCGGCTTCTAGGATGCACGTACTTGAAGTGGAGCTGTATTTAGGTAACACCTAAACAATCAGCCAAGCTGGAAGTCATAGACAACATCATTGTGGAAATGGACCCAGAGCTTTGTCACATTTTTTGCATCCTGAAGCATGCAACACTCTCTGGAATCCCTGAGGAGCTGACCTCATCAGTGTGTCACAGTCACCGTTAAATGGGCAAGCTCTAATTCCTGGTTCCCAGTGCTTGCAGGCAGGGTTTGCTTAGCAGGAGCAGCCAGACTAAAAGGCACTGCGTAGTCCCTTAGGGACTTTGCTGGCAGAGAGGAGGCTGAGCTTAGAAATCCTCCGGTGGATTTCTGCTTAATTTATCCCATGCAGCACAGTGATGTGATGTTGATCATTTTTTTAGGGCTGAAACAAGAGGCCTCCTTTTGTAATTGCTGTCTGCAGGGTCAGTGTGGATCATCTGGCCTAACCCCTTAGGTTCCGTGTTGCGTTGCTCCAAAACCGATCACTTTAGGAGGGGGGCTTGGGGGGGTGCAAAAAACAGCTCAGCTGGAACAAGATAATGTATTTTTAAAAGGGAGAAGGTTAGGTATTTATTTCCAGGCATGGGCAAGGATAGTGAATGCCATTCCCCAGTGGCATCACTGGGGGGAACAAGCCAATTTTGGTGACTTTGGACAGGGCTTTGCAGCCAGAAGGGGAATTAGCCAAAAACACTTTGCAGGGTGAGATATCCTGGGCAAAGGCCCAGAGCTTATGTCCCCCATTGGGCCCTTGGCACCTTCACAGAGAGCATCACAGTACATTATGAGTTGGAAGGGACCCACAAGGATCATCGACACCAACTCTTCAAGTGAATGGTCTCTGAGGGGATCGCATCCACGGTGTTGTTGACACTGTGTTCTGACCAAGCGAGCGATGGCCACGGAAGGCCCGTCAAGGCAGTGCGAGGGGAATTTAACCGCGCTCTGTGCTCCTCCCGCAGCGCACCCGGCAGTGCCGGCCCCGGAGCGACCCACGGCCACGGTCTCGCCTCTGCGGACGCCCAGCTCGCCCTCCCGCCTGCCCGCCGCGGCCATTCGGCCTCACCCCGCCGTGTCCCCGCAGCACGGCCACCAGCCGCCCGCCCCAGGGGCCCGGCCCCTCATCCCGCTCACCTCCGCCGCCGCCGCCATCACCCCGCCCAACGTCAGCGCCGCGCACCTCAACGGGGACGTGGGCGGCGGGCCCCTGGGCGGCCCCGCCGCGCCCGGGCCTGCCGGCAAAGCCGAGGAGAGGAAAAATGAGAAGGTAAGGGCCGCCATGCCTCTGCCGTGCCTCGTGCTCCTGCCTCATAGCCCTCCCACACGGCTGCTGAGGAGGCACCTTGCGAAAGCTGATTTCCATCGCCAGACAGCTTGGGCATCGTCATCTCACACCATTCCCACACCTCATCTTTCCCCCCACCGCCATCCTCAACACTGCTCTCGCGTCACCTGCTCGCGGATGGGAAACAAGGCTGAATTGGTGCGTTTCTCCCAGTGATCAGCCCCGAGAGCTGCAAATTTGCAGCGGTGCAGCGAGATGTTGCAGCGGGCTCTTGGCCATCAGAACCGCATGGCTAAGTCCGAATCTGCCTGCCTCCCTTCGTTGGTGGTGGCACCAGCCACCCAGCAGGTGCCTCAGGCACAATAAAACATTGGTTCGTAAGTGCTAGGAGCTGTTTTGCTCTTCCAGAAGCATCTCGATTTCTTCAAGAAATTTTCATTGCAGAAATCAATTCATGGCACAGCCCAAAAAGAAGGTAATCGGATACTGCTCGATGGGATGTAGGTACAGTGTACTGTTGGGTCAATCTCTTAGGAGCCAGCAGTGGGACCGATAGCTGGGTACATGTTCCCTGGCACACCTTGCTAAGGAAAGCCAGTGAGGAGAGCCTCTTTAAGCAGCCTTTTAGGTTGTTGGCAAATATTTTGTTTTTACCAAATGTTTACATTGTGTCAGCAGTTCCCATATATCAATGCTGAAGATTATCTCTCTGCTGGCTAGCAGAGCAAGATCCTGGTTTTTATCTGAGTAGGAGGAAGAGATGTGGGGGCCTGCTTTTCCTTTGAACCTGAAAAAAATTCTTTCCATATGTTCCCTGAGCTTTCCCATGGTGATAGACACATACAGAGTAAACAGTTTCTTTGAACGTGGTAGTACTGATGTGGCAGGTCTCATGTCCTCAGAGAGGCAGATAACCTCTAGCTGCACAAAATTAGGAATAAAAGTTTTAAAATGCTTTCCTTTATCCTGCCTTGAATTTTCTCTGAATGCATATTGGTGAAAGAAGAAGGGTGTAGAAATTCTACCCTGAATGTGACATTTAGGTACTTGCTTTCAAAGAGCAACTCTCAGGTGTCCATCAAGGACTGCATGTGGTGGATGCAGAACAACTCTTCTGCATCCAAGGAAGGGAATAGCATTTGGCAGGAGGTGGTAGAGCTGCACGTTGCCTCAGAGCATTGTGTACTGGCTTATTTATTACTTTCTAAAACGTGTTAAGTGATAGGTCCATATATTTTAATTCATGTGATACTGCACACTGAAAGTCTGTCGGCACAATTATTTTGAGAAGTCCTAAAATACTGGTTAATCTCTCCCAAGCTGCTACAGCTTAAAGTTACTGAATTGGGATGCAGAAAAGTAAAGTTAAGAGGTTTTTGAACTCCATGCATGAAGGGGAGAAGGAAATAATATACAACATCATTGCAATGGGTGTTGCCAAAGACCAGTTCACTATCTGGGAAGTATCAGAGAGAAGTGACAGTAAAAATTGTAATTTCTGACTCAATTGGGTAATACATAACTGCCCTGGCTGGACAGCATATTCCTGAATCTTGTCCATGTTACAGTTCACTTTCATTTTAGAAAGATCTGAATTAGCAATGTTTCCTTTCCTTTTAGAAATAGTGACTGATGTTTGGCCAGGTAAGTTGTGTTATTGCTCTTTGCTAAGCCCAAATATTTCTTTGAAGCAATTGAGAGCTTGGATAATGCCAGAATGAAAGCCATACAACTATTCAGAAAAGCATCTGTGAGTCAGAACTGGAACCATATCTATAACAGCACTTGATATTTTCAAAGTGAAGGCTGATTGGGCAGGTTTTTTGGTAAATAGGAAAGTGTCACAACACTCAGAGGGAATATCAGTGGAGAAAGACAGTATCTGTTATCAGTACACGTAATAGGAAAAAATCAGACAAGATTGAGGAGCAAAAAACAGGAGGGACATAGCTAGCAAGCTGCCAGATAAGCAAAGATCAGAAGCAATTTTTCTGTGTTCAGTTTCATTATATTAATCAGTCAGGTATTTTGAGATGAAAAGAACAGGGGAAGTTAGTAAGAGGAGAGGTAATAAGGTCTTCAGCTCTATTGAACACAGGATGGAAGAAATGCACAGGTAATTATCTCCTGAGAAACTGAGATTAGCAAGTCATATGTGATGTAAATTGTAATGTGCCATAAAATTAGCGTTGTTGTTAGAATCAACAATTTTTGGTGTGCTCTGAAGTTGTTAACTTCAATCCTGTCTTAGTCTTTCCAGTGTGTTTTGTAGGATACCATCAAGGAAAAAGGCTGAATGATCAGAGAATAACTGGTTTAGGAGACATTTTCTTGTTATTAACCATGGTTTTCTTTTATGTAGGAATTGTCAGTGTGAGTTCACTGTGGTACAGAGGGCACATAGTACAGAAGAAGTAGCTTGCATTCAGGAATGGACATGACAAGGATCCATTGTTTTTCATGGTTCTTTTGAGGGCTGTGGAGATAAATTGCAATTTTTGCATTTATCACTCTAGTATGATGAGATATATTGGTCCTTGGGGAATTTTCTTCAGATTATAACTTTAGTAATGTTGATTGTCTGCTTGAAAGCTGGGCTGGGAGATAGTGAGGAAAAGTGTTTTAAGATAGGATCTTCTAAAAATTTATGTTTTATGATTTCCCACAGCAATTCCACTCAGAGATACTAAAAGTGACACCAAGGGGCAGCTTCTGCAGTGAGTCCATGTATGCTGCTTGTGTTGCGTGTTCCAAGATGGAATCAACTTCCCCTCGGGAATAGCCTTGTTTGAGTGTATGGTGCAGTCATCACTGTTAATGCTTTCTTCGGTGCACATGTTTATACGCCAATATCACGGGTTCCTGTTGGTGTGCAGCAGTCACATATAGGCAAATTCCAAGATTTCTCTAAAATTGAGGGACTCCGATTCCAATTTTTACTCATTTCCTTATGATTTAAAGGCAACTGGCAGAAATAATCCTAAGGATTACAGTTTTCAGATCAGCATGAATGATTTCTTTGCTCGTTTTCTATTAATGTAGCAAATAAATCCTTAGGTCTATTTTTTGACATCTCTAGTTCTCTGCTTCAGCCTATTTCTTGGAGATCTTGATCCAAATTTTCAAAGCTGCAGGTGAACCTTGGTACTTACATTTATTTAGGTACCCTAGTAATAGTGTCTTACTGTCATATTCCTGCTACTTAACCAGGAGGTAAAATTCTGCCTCCATACCACTCTTCACTTGTTGGTATGCATCTAATCCTGGAGGATCCCATCTGCAACTGGGTTTGTGCTCCACATCTCAGCTCCTTGACCAGCCTCCTGTCTGCTTAGGGAACAGTTTTGAGCCTGGTCTCCTTTACCAGCTGCTGATGTTAGTTGACGAAAAACTGTGCCATAGACAGTGCTTAAGTCCACTGTGCAACAGTACTTGGAAAGTACTCTGCCAACCAAGCAGACTGAGAAGTAGAGCACTTGAAAATCAAAGAAGTTTCAGTGCTGTATGGGCACAGTGGGAAGCAGCAGGAAAGGCAGCTCCCGCAGGGGCGGCACAGACACTGCAGGAATAACAAGTGGCCTGAGTGGAGGTGAGGGAGCACAGCAGAAGTTGAAGAGGTAACGGTGGTCAAGGCAGCATAGAAGGGAGAAGAGCATTGGCAGCTGCTGAGAGACAGAGCAGGGAGCACCAGAGAAGGGGTGCCAGTGCAGGGTCCAGGTGAAGGGTGCTGTGCAAAGCCCACAGGAAGGGGTCCTGAAACAGGGAAGTTGAAATATAGGGTGTGAAATATATCTAAAGGCAGTGGAAGAGAGGAAAGTGTGAAGGAGACTCTTTCTTCTTTTTCTCAAATACTTCCCACTTGAGGTTTGTTTTTTTTTCTTTTTCCAAAAAGGAGGTTTATTTCCCTGGAAGTAAAATACTAATTTTTCCCCAGACTCTATGCCAGATTAGGGATAGCATCCCTAAGACATCACAGGGCCAGAAGACAAAACAAAGAGCAAATGGACAGCATCCATTTCCTTTAAGGGTGTGGAGTGGTAGCAGGGTTCCTTTGAGCTCTTTGTCATTTGCTACTAGTATCTGCATGTGTAGCCATATGAAAGTCAAAAAATTCAGTCCCAGTTCCCAAATCTTCTGAACATCTGAAAGAAAGAGGCGGAGATCCTAGCTGTGGAATTGGAGGAAAACTGTATGGTTTAGGGGCTTTTAAAATTAGGGATCCTGCTTTTTCAGCAGGGTCAATACTACCCAAGTTCAACTTGTAGATTACAGCTGAGAGCTTGTGATTATGGTATGACTACTGCTTTGACCTTGCTCAATTTTTGCTATAATAGTTTCTGCTGTACCTAATCTGGGTTGATGCTTAATACCACTGATAAAACCACTTGTTTGAATGAATTAATGCATTTCTCATTAAATGAGCTCCTCATTATTTAATCAAATCAAGCAAATCATGCTGGGTGGTTTGACCACTGTAATTAAACTTTCTTTAAAATCCACTCATTTGGCTTTTGATGAGGGTTTTGATTAAACTCTTCCAAAATGTCTGGCCCAAGAGCTGACAGAGAGAAAAATAAGAGCTTGCACGATCAAGCAAGTCATTAATTCATCACTGTTTTACAGCAATTCCTTACTGTTTTACCTAGCCAGAGTATATTGAAATATTTGAAAATTGGCAATGTAAAATTAAACATTTCTTACAAGTATGCTGAGAGAACAAGTCTGTTTGCAGCTTTAAATTTAGGAACTCTGTCTCTGGAATATATAGAGGATCTAGATTAACAAGTCGCAAAAATGGGAAGGTAAACTAGGCTGCTGTTTCCTGATGTTAAGATAGGAAGAGACACATCTTCAGAAAATTACTTTGAACACATACCAACAGTTTTGCATGTGAAGGCTGAATCAGTAAACATCTGTCTGTTTTCACCAGTGTCACTCACTTTTTCAAGTATCAGTCCTGCTCAAAAAAAATGCATTCCTCA